TTAGTAATTTTCGTCCGATTTCTTTAACGTCCTGTATATCGAAGGTATTTGAAAATATATTAAAACTGCAACTTGAATCATTCCTTCATCGTCACGAGGTATATTCTGACAATCAATATGGTTTTAGGACGGGAAGAGGAGTGGATGACGCACTTGCAAAGTTACTCTCTAATATTTATACGGCTGTGGACTCTTCACAACCCTCAATAGCTGTTTTTTTGGATCTTGCAAAGGCGTTCGACACGGTTTCACACTCCATCCTATTTGAAAAGTTGGAATTATACGGGATTCGTGGAGTGTGTTTGTCGTTACTGAAATGTTTTGTTGCGGATAGAGAGCAAGTGGTTGTAATCAATGGTACCCTAAGTAGTCCCAAACAAGTGGTAAGTGGAGTTCCCCAAGGTTCCATCCTAGGTCCCGTTCTGTTCTTATTATACATAAACGACATAATTAATTTACGTTTTGAACGAGCTACTATAGTCTCTTATGCGGACGACACTGTACTGTACGTGGTGGGAGATACTTGGGAACAAGTCAAACAATCCACATCGTGTTACTTGTCTGTACTCGTACGTTATCTAAACCAAAACTTGCTGTCTCTCAACTACACCAAAACTCTTTATATTCCCTTTCACTCTTACAAATTTCAAACAATAGATGATGACATAAAAATCCATGAATCAGATTGCTCTCAGATTAATTGTAGTTGTGCTCTAAGTATATCTCAAAGGGACCACATCAAATATCTTGGTGTTACCATTGACAAACACCTAAGATGGGACCATCATATTACACAACTTGTGATTAAACTAAGGAGATATGTCTATCTGTTTAGAAAGTTAAAACGGTTCTGCAATGAAAATTCATTAAAAATTGTTTATTACGGCTTTGTGCAATCTGTGCTGGGATATGGTTTGTTAGCGTGGGGTGGGGCAGCTCACAAATACTTAAATAAGTTAGAGGTGGCACAGAAGCTAATAATCAAAATTATGGCTAAAAAGCATGCACGTTACCCTTCTCAATTGTTATTCAAGGACACCAACCTTTTTACAATAAATCATCATATCTTCTCTCGGTATCTCGATTTATATATAAAAATATTAATAGGCTTAAGTTAAATTTTCCCCAACACAATTACGATACAAGGACAAAAATAAAGAATTTGGCGTATAATTTAAAAATACGGAAAAAAGTTGGTCAATCTTACTTCTTGTATTATACACAAAAGCTATATAATTACCTATTAATCTACACAAATTTGTCTTTCCCTTTAACAATTTCATATCATGCGTTTATCAAATTTATTAAAGAACTTCTCCACAATAATTTCTCCCATCTTGAATCACAGATTTATTTATTATAACGGATACTCTACCCTAACTCTTTGTTTTTTATCACTCTCAACTTGTGATCGGTTCAAAAAGCGTTATTATCTACGTACACCTTGGGGTGTAGTGACAACAAGTTTTTAACTTAGTCGTTACACCTAAGGACGCTAAAAATGATATTTTAGTTATTTTCATTTTGGACATTTTTTTTTACATTTACATTATTATACATAGGTTATAGGTTTCTGTTACAACAAGAATGTAAATAAATGGTTATTATTATTATATTATAAAAGACCACATTGTATTTTTAACGTTATTTTTATCATGAGATTGTATTAAATTAAAGGACGCACTTTGTAGAGGTGATAAGCGGAATTGAATTGCAGAAGGGGGGGGGGGCAGCTCACAAATAAGTGTCTTAATCATTCAATAATAATAATAATAATGTAGCGCTAGTTTTCCGAAAAAAATCTTAATAATAATAATAAGCAAATTAGCAATAGTTTTGCTGACTGGGTATTTAAGTATTCATGCAAATTGTGTTTTGTTTCAGGTAAGGATCCTAAAGCGACATTGATTTGTAAGTGTCCCAACATATAATGGTAAGTTGTTACTTTTCATTTTACCTAATGCTAATCTATTTATTATTACCCTCGATCCATTATTAACCCATTAATAATGGCTAGAAATTCAATCATTTCTATCAATGCCTTGCACTATTTTACTTAATTTTGAAAATATTCCTAGCTTGGCATCAGTAAGAGTCTTGATCGTATTATGCATACTTGAATATTCCGCTTCCCTACATCTACTGCATTCACGTTGAATTCTCTGTTGGGGCATTATTGAAACGCTGTCATTAATAATGCTACGAATATCCGAGTTTCCTCTACAAGAAGCAATTTTATGTATCTCGAGACTTACTGAAAGCTTCTCGGAAGTACTGCGAAGTATCAGAATCTTAATGATGCGAACGTTTACACAAATGCAGGATTTGCATTGTTTAAGGAACTTAAAAACTAATCGATATTTAAATTGGTGTTCAATTATTCTTTTGGAGCCGTGGGACGGCATTGAGCCCAATTGTAAAGCAGAACGTAAATCTCTCGCCCAACTTACCATGATGTTACTCGATTTACATTGTGTCATTTTTTATTGAAACTCTTTTTCATCGGGAGTGTAGTCGATAACTTTCGAAAGTTTCATGGTACGCAATTATTTTGGCTATGGCTAGTTCGTCTTTGTTCATGTAAATTGAAATTACGTGATTATTAGATAAAAATGCGAAATTGTTTCTTTTATTTAATCGGATAAGACATTGTAAGATGATAAAGGTGGTAACCATGTGGATTTGTAGTGTCTCGCTGATGTCCTCGTCCATCCTTGCGAGAATGGCACGTTTCTGGACGATGAACAATTCCGTCTTGTCAGCTTCGCCTTGTGTTTGGAAGAGGTTCCCTGCCACCATATGGCGACATCGTCCTGCATCCTGCAGCAGCAAGGTGATTCCGCGTGGGGTGTTCTCGTCGGACGTAATGACGCAGTTCTTATATATGTCAAGAAATTCAGCCCTGTATTCTGTCAGTAACGTTAAATTTAACGTGTAGGTAATTATCTACACAAAACGTTATTTTCCCATACGAAATAACGTAAAGTAACGTTTTTTGACAGATACCTGCACGTTGACGTTTCTGATACATCTCAGGGGTGATTGTCGATGAATGCCTGGGCGCCTGCGGATCCATAGAAGCGGGTGGTGCATTTCGTGAATGATCCTCCGGGGTGGGCTTCGTCTGCTGGATCGATTTCAGGAGCTCTTTGAGAATAGCCTCGGTGATCCGAATAGTTCGACTATCCGCGATTTCCTCGGAGTTCATCTTTGATTTTGATCTAGTGATCGGCGATGTTTTTTAAAATATGAACCCCACGTTGGGCGCAATTCATAATAAACAATCCGAGCTTGGGATGGCTTCTGTGTAGACCTCCGGCGATTAAATACAAGTCCGCGAACCAGATGCATATCCTCTCCCATACGTCAACGCCACTCTCGACAAGCTAAGGGATGCAAGATACTTAATGACCCTTGACATCAAGTCCGCATATTCGCATATACCAATGGTAGACTCACTGAAGCCATATACCGCGTTCACAGTACCCAACAGAAGTTTTTTCCAGTTCCGTAGATGCCCTTCGGACTTCACAATTCCCCCCATGTATTCAGCTACTTGGATGACATCACAATTTGCACTCCAATTTTTGAACACCATCTTCTGCAATTTTTGTAAGAGTGGGTTAATGCTATGTGGTCAAGGCTCAAATTTTACCTGGTAGACCTAGGTAAAGTTGAAGCATACTCAGATTCCCATTCCGACGATAGTTCCTGAAGTCAGAAGAATCACCGGCATGAGTTCTTGGTACAGACGTTCCACACTAAACTTTTCTTCACTAATTTCCCCTCTTACGGATCTGTTAAAGAAGAACGTCAAGTTACCCCCCTAACACCGCAATATATACAATATGCAAAAAACGGAAAACACCACGTGCACCCGTTACAAGACCTATCACATTCCCTTTGTAAATACAAGCCCACATGCAACAAACTGTTCTCTAGACTAGCGCTTTTGATATCTTTTAGCCATAGAAATGACGTGTAAGGACGTTTTCTAAGTACCTACGATACGGTAAGGGGAATCTATCTTAGGCGGTAGTGCTGGAAAAGTTGGTTCTACAGTTTTATCTATACAGTGTGAACCAGTTAACTATGCCGTTAAACAAATATGTTTTCCAAATAAAGTAAAGGTCCAAAATTTTTACGGCATGAAATGCGCAAACTGCTTTTTGAAAATTCAGCAGTTTTATTCTTAAATACTGTACCTACCAAACTTTTGTGCCCAGGTTTACACTTGGAATTATTTTTCGAAATTTTGAAAAACCAACTTTGGATGCATTATTTTCAGATTGAAAAAGCCCCGCGTTCCTAAATTTGGTTTAGACAAGCATTCTTCTTAGATAGCGATACATTAATGTAATTAGGAAAAAGAATGAAACAAAATTGACGCTAAGATATACAGGGTGTTGCATTTAAAAAATACCAACTTTGGGCCAGATCTCAGAAAAGGTAGTCCAATTTTTTACTACGCCACTGGAACTACGTAAAATATCTAAAATAGGCAGTTTTTACCTTTTTCTATCTTACATGGATAGTAAGATATGATAACATTTTTTTCGTTTTCACCCTGTATCTCAGAAACAAACGTAGCTAGATTTATTCTGTTTATGGCATTGAAAGTTTTAAGTTTAAGGACTGACTTACCCAATTCTTCGACTTCCTTAGAGCTCTTCGGAAGCAAATGTTTGCTCCATAATCTGAAGGCATACGCTAAACTTGGAAATAGACTAAGATAGCAGTACTCGAATTCTCAATAAAATAACAACAAGCGAAGATAGGAAATAAGATACGAAGTTGGATAGGCAAATAGAAAACTGACATCCATTAATGAGTGCTTGATCGCAACGACAAAGTGAATTTTAGTTATATGAATTTGTTACGTTCACTTTGGGCCAACGTGACAAAATTACTTTAGATAAGCACACGGTAAGCTCAGGCAAAGTAGAGGTGGGTCGGGGTGAAAATGGGGTTCTTCTATACAAACACAAATAAGCCAAAAAGGGAAGGAAACAGTAAAAGTAATCCGGATAGGCGCCACTTAGTCTTTGATAAATCTAGAAAGACAGAGAGGAATACTTACTAAAGGGATAAACAACGCAGACTAAGAGATCCTTGTTCTCGTCTTACTAAACTCGAAGGAATGCACAATTATGGGGAAAGAAACATAAACAATATTTGATGTCATAAATGCGGGTGGTTTAATACTTTAATACAATGATCTCAAAATATCACAAATCTGACACTGTAATATACCTATAGATCGGGTATGTCAAAATGGGAATTTAAAATAATCTCTAATACAAACGAATGAGAAGCCAACACGTAGCCGGGGAAAGTATTTATCCAAAAGGGGCTTCCGCAGAAACAACGGAGCTATAATCATGAAGTGACTTTCAAACAAAGTAATAATCAACTCGTTAGTATCAAAAACCACAATGTAATCAAGCGTTAAAAGGGAAAAACGACGAAAACAACTAAATTTACCTTTGAACTACGGTCGCACCCTTCTGAGCTCAGAGGACGCGAAACTGCAAATCTGTAAAGAGACAGACACACAAACAAAAAAATATAAGAAGGGTAATGATTCGTGTTGCACAATATATCGCATAAGCAATGGTTAACGTAAGACACGACGGGTTATTAAGGATCCTCAGATCCTTTATAGTTTTGTATTGTCGTCCGTCCGTCCGTCCGTCCGTGTGCGCTCTAACCTTTTTTAAAGTGGCCGATTGTGTTGAAATTTGGGTATACGGGTACGTTTGGACATTAAGAACGGACCGCTATTGATTTCAGGAAGCTGGTTTCAACAGGAACAAGAAGTTATACGATTCGAGTGAATCGGGAACAGGAAAAACTGCGAACTTCAATATAATAAAAATTAACATATTTATTCCTAGGTCATGTATCGAGTTCGGACTTTCGCTAGATTATTCCCTATGACTCTTAGATGTGTAACAATTCAGTATAAACTTCTTCTCGTGGTCTCGGTCAAAAGATTAGAGCAAAATGTACCCAAAATTATTCTTTACACATGAATTTAGAGTTGTAAAAGCTTCAAAACGCATTATCTTGATGCTGAAAGAGTTGATAACGTGCACGTTTGATAACCGCATGTGTGTTGATTCAAAAATGTTAATTATTTTCTGAGGCCACATGGATTTTGATCAAATATGTCAAAATCGTTAATTATGCACCAAAAATCGTTGGGAAAAGACTAGGCGCATTATCTCAATGCCCAAGACATGAATTTTGCATTTTTTTGGCGACCACGTGGATTTTGATCAAAACATGTCAAAATCGTTATTTATGCACCAAGAGCGTTGGGAAAAAGACTAAGCGCATTATCTCAATGCCCAAGACATGAATTTGATGAATTTTGGGCGAAAAACGTGGATTTTGATCAAAACATGTCAAAAATCGTTATTTATGCACCAAGATCGTTGGGGAAAAAGATCAAGAGCATTATCTCAATGATCTAAACATGAATTTGATCTATTTTTATGGACCACATGATTTTGATCAAAACATGTCAAAAATCGTTATTTATGCACCAAGATCGTTGGGGAAAAAATCAAGAAGCATTATCTCAAAGCCCAAGACATGAATTTGATGCATTTTTGTTAACTATAAAATGTATTTTGTAAGATTAAAATAAAATTGTCGTTAAAAGTGATTGTTAATACTGAGGATCCTTCGATATTTCGTTGTATCGGGTTATTTTTATACATAGAATGGCAATCAATACTAAACAAAAATCAAAAATTCAAATGACTTTACGAGAAAACAAAATTTGGTTCGACTAAGGGTTGGTTTTTACAATCGGTATGAGATATCTAAAAGTGACATGAAGTCTTAAGAAAAAAATACTATGAAAGGTACAAATAACGGAATCTCTCTTCAATGACAAAGCAATCTTATCAATTCAAATGAAAACAAACTTACACGAACAAGTTCTTCAGAGCAAAATACATAACGTTAATTAAAATTGTAGAAATTTGCTTCGAACAAAGTCTCGGCAATTTTAAGAACTAGATCACAAACAAAAGTAGTTAATATGAAGAATAAAATACAGTAAACTAACAAATATAAGTATCGGAGTAACACAAATATGATGTCGATCGTAGATGATATTATCGTTAATCTAAACTTCGGTAACGACAAAACTAAACGTAATTGGTAACTGGGTATACAAACACATACGAACGATTTACACAGTACCAACTCCACACGTCTTGTTATTTAGGTACTTGCGTTTCGGAGGAATCAATCGTAGGTCAACGAACTTTGCAAAATTGGGTCATCAGTTCAAATCGGTTTCACACGAAATGACGGTAATTCTTCAGTCGGTAAGGTAGAAATATGCAGGGAGTTTTTGATTGGTAATGGCGTCGATATTTCAATGGAATTCTCTTGCACAATATCGAAAATCGGGAATTCGCGTTTCCACTTAGAAATATCAATGCACAATCAGGAAGCAATTGGTAACTCCAAAATAAGAAGTACTCAGAGAGTACGAAAGTAGCCTGAAATAGATTATTTAAAGTAAAAAGATAATGCGTCATAGATAACATACCGTAAACGGCCTTAATCTTGTAAGATAAATCCGCAGAAATGCGTCAGCGAAGTTGGAAGTAAGATAATAAGAGAAAAACTTCACTAACCTTAATACAAACAGCACATATAATATCCCAAAAAGGTAGTCAAGTAAGTGTAATGGCGTGTAGCTCAAGTACAAGTCAAGATCGATTCGAGTTCATCAACAACGTATGCGCGCGTCAACAGCAAATGGGAGAAAACGCGCAACAGAAATCTAGACGGGAAGGTTTTAAAAGAAAGCTATATCACAAATAACGGATCGGGTTACAATGTGAACACCTAGATGGTGTAAGGATTGCTATATAAAGGTAAGAGTTCGCATAATGTTATTCGAGAAGGATCCACATCGTAATTCAAATGCAGCCAAAGCAAAGATTTAAACGGTAAAGAAAATAACGTCACAAATTTCAAAGAGACAAGAAAATTACGTAATACACAGTTTCTTTAAATTAATTGAGATTAAAACAAAAGGTATTGATGCATATTTTATCCATGGTAACCAGAGATCTCAAATTGGCGGCCGGAAGTTACAAAGCAGATTACGACCATGCGGCAGTGACGGTCCCCCTCCAAAATGATATATACTTAGCATTTTTCAGTCTTCAGTTTGGTAGCAGTGACGGTCTGCCGCCTTACATACTACCTGTAAACGTCTCTCAGGTTGTTTTTACAACAGCGTCTTTTATAATCAACCCGTTATCGTTAACCCCACTACCACTTGAAACTGATGCACATCCATTAACTTATAACACACCTGACCATTTTATACAAAATCTTAACGAACAATCTGAAAATATAAAGAAATTTTACACAAAGAAACACCTGCAAGTTTTTTCAACTTCAAAGGTCTTTTCACAACTAAAAAACACACATCAACTAAAATTATACGTGTCATAGCGACATTTTAAAGGGGGGAATAAATAAATTACGGTTTACATGCGAACGTAACTCGTATTTCCCGACAAATTTCCGCGCAAGAAGCTTTAATTTATTCCGACGGCATTCGAAGCTAAATTAGTGATGAAAATAAAGCTAAGACACGCAAGACATGGTAATTGTCGGGAAATTTATAGTGCAAGAGGCAGCATATGCGAGCATCCATACAAATTCGGTATCACTCCGCGAGATAAATTCATACATAAACCAGAATGCCGCATTCGACTCCTCTAAACGGAAGCGGCGTAAATTTCCACTGAAACAACTCGTGTACGGAAAACTTCCACAGGATAAAGTTAGATGCTCCTTTGTATCGTTAACCTAAAAGGACAAGATAAGCGATAAGTCGACGGTGAACGTGAAAACATGGAAAAGTTGAAGTGGAACGTGTACTGCGGCATCCTCCATATTATGAACAACGAGAAAATTTAAATAAAACGAAATCGGTCTCCTAACTTCGAAATAAAGTGCAGTTTCCGCGAAGTTCGCGTTAGTGCATTTTCCTCCATAGTGATTTAGATCGATCCGAATT